AGTTATGTACATATGATATAGCATTTCTGTCAACAGATCCTTCAAAATATTACACAATATTAAACCATTAAATCATTCTCGTAATTTAAATAATGGTAACACTTTAGTTTAGGGTCAATTTCTCACAATAACTACGACGATATTGGCTGTTTATTAGCACCTTTAAAGCACATATTAATGCCTTATTCTGCATGACCATATTCGACATCTATTAATCCTACCTTACTAACTATTAATAAGTAGTAATTAGTAGTTTACTGAGGCAAAAGTCATAGTTAATAGTTAGTTAATAGTGAAAAAACATGTTCTTATAACAACCTGACAGATGTAGGGAATATAGTGGTCATGACTGGTCAAATAAGCCTGCAGGTGTGCTCTATTCGTCAAGTGTTTGGGATCTTACATAAGCACAGTTTTGGGAGGAATGATGGTGAACTCTGGCTCAAAATCATGCCACTGCACCTGCCACACATTCAGCTCGTAAGAAACCAGACCACCCTGTGAAATCCGTCATCGCCGCAGCTGCGGTCGGCCCTCATTCCAGTCACGTCCGTTATGATGCTTCAGGCTCCATTAGGCTCAAAGCATGGCGTCCCCTTCAGCGAGACCCTCCGGTTCCCTCAGCCGTCTGCAAGAGGACTACAGCTGTCAGCTCTGAAAAGACAGCAGGTGGACACACTCTCACACACTCAGCCGGCTTATTTATCGGAAGTCATCCCATCAAAAATGACTGCAATGGCAATGCTTTGATGGAAAGAGAGAGCGCGAGAGAGGCAAACTGGAAGGAGAGATAGAGAGGAAGCCGAGAGAAAAAGTGTGTGAATGACAAAGACAGAGTCCCTCAGAAAGATAAACAGAGAGAGTGGAGGGCTATAATGGCTTTGCACTACTAATTTGTCACTCTACTTGAACGGCAAACAGCAGGAAGACAGTGAAAACACGCTGAACTGTCACTTCCCGCTACCCAAAGACAAGCTCGCAAGAACTTTCATCTGGGGCTCATTCTACTGGTGAAGACATCAGCTGTATAGAGACATCTATAGACTTATACAGAATAAAAATATATCAAATGGATAGCAGCTGTCTTTGATTTGTCAACACACCATTCCAGCCACAAAGACAGTTTTCTCTAAAAGAATATAAAAACAATTCTGTCCAAAAGCTATCTTTACTGTGTTTTTTTCGGTTTTCTCTTCACACGAGTGTCTCATATTTCACCTCATGTTCTTGTCTTCTTGTCTAATGGGTAAATAAATACACTAACTTTTGGAGAAAAAAAATATATATATGGGCAAAAAGGTTAATTTTGATGGAAATTATGTCAGATCCTAACTAAAGGAAGGCCATTTTGGTATTTTCAAACAGAACATTTCACCCTTCTTTAGCTGATAAATAAAAAGAATGTATAATTATGTTTATTTTCATGGATTAAGATTGAAAGACTGGGGCAAAGGTAAACAATTAAGTGTTCAACATAAAAGGCATACAAGCGTGAGTTACATCAACTATGAAAATGGAACTAAATGTTCCCAAAGTGGGTTTTCATAGTGATGCCACAGAAGAAGTGATAAACCTGTAAATCCGACTTTCTGACAAGTGATAGAAAGGATCCATTTTAAGAACCCCAAAGAACCTTTAAAGCGATAGTTCACTTTGAAATTAATTTTTGGTATGATTGTTTCTGCAGTAGTTTAATTTTTTTATATTTTTCGGTCAAACCGTTCATTCTGTCAGTCGTATAATGCATGTCTATGGTCACCACCTCAAAGTGCATGTACAGAGAAGTCCAAATTAAACATGATTTAATGACTCGTAAATATGTAAGTACACATTGATGGCTTAAGACACGAAACGAGTGGTTTGTGTGAGAAAACGAACTGTATTTATATCGTTTTTACCTCTTGTAACCACAGCCACGTCCAAGTGATCTGAGAGCACGGGCGCTTCGGTCTGCGCAAGCGCCGGAAGTGATCTCTCGCATGTATAGGTCACTCATTATTTACAAAGAGATTTCGGAAGTGCTACCTTTCACGGTGCAGATCTAAACATATTTAGATATACATGAAACCGCAATGGAAGACGATTTTGATATATAAACAGAATTTTTTTCACAACAATATTTAAATCACTTCCGATGATTTACAGCGCAGGTCGAATGCGGCCGCGCCCTCAGATCACTTGAAGTGGCTGTGGTTACAAGAGGTAAAAACTATATAAATGCTGTTTGTTTTCTCACACAAACCGCTCGTTTGTGTACTTACATTTACGAGTCATTAAATCATGTTTAATCTGGACTTCTCTGTGCATGCTCTTTGAAGTATTGACCTGCATTATGACTGACAGACAAGAACGGTTTGACCTAAACATATCAAAATTGAAACTACTGTGGAAACAAAGACACCTAACGTTACATCTTGGATGCCCTTGGGGTAAGCTAAAACATACCAAAATTAATTTCGAAGTGAACTATACCTTTCATAAGTAAAAAATTTTAAAAAGCGCCTAATCTAAAACGTTTGTGCCTTGAAAGGTTCTGTAAAGGTTCTTCATTGAACCATATAACTCACCAATAGTTAAAACAAAAATGAGTAGAACATATGTACTTTAAAGCCCAATCCACCATTAAAACAAAATTAATACAGGTGGGATCACGTAAGTAGGCCTAAAAAAATGATGACAAAATTTAAATTTTGAGTGAATTATGACTTTAAAATTGTATGTTTCTCTTCCAGCCTCATACTTACCGCCAAACAAAGTTTTTCTCTGCGTCTATGATGCTATCTCCAGTGGCTTTGATAACAAACTGATCCAGCAGAGGTGTCAGAGCGCCCTCTAGTGTCTAAGCGTGCAGTTCGCTCGTGATTTCGTTGGTGAAAGTGTTCTGTTCAATTCCCTTACAGACCCTTTCTGCAAGTTATGTCATAGGCGACAACCAGTGACTTCACGTGTAGCCTATCTCTGAATGTCGCTTATATTAGAAATAGGTATCCTTTATTATTTGCATTAAAAACGGTTTCTCCACAAATGAAAAACATAACCAATAACCTTTTCTTTATGTTGGTAGTCTTGATTTTTTCTTATAAGCTATCAAACAGCAGTTCGTGCTTTCATTCTACATGTGCACCAAAGCAATGCATTTTCATAGGTTACTCAAAATAACATTAAAGGATTAGTTCACTTTAAATAAAAAACTTTACTGATAATTTACTCACCCCCATGCCATCCATGATGTCCACGTCCTTCTTTCTTCAGTTAAAAAGAAATTAAGGTTTTTGATGAAAACATTCCAGGATTTGCTCCATATAATGGACTTCATTGGGAACCAAAAGGTTCAAGGTCCAAATGCAGCTTCAAACGGCATCAGACGATAAATAATTTCATTATGTCATGATCAGGGAAAAAACAAACAGGTCAAATCAGCCTAAAGTTGTCTGGCTAGTTTAAGATGGTGTTCAGCTGGTCTTCCAGCCTGACCAGCTAAAATCAGCATGACCAGCTAATGAAGTGACAAAAACCCATCTAAATCCATCCTGCTAAACCAGCTAAGACCAGCCAATAATCTTAGACTGGATTTAGCAGTTTCTTTCAGCAGGGACATTTGCCATTTCTGAGGTGAAGAGCCTGCTGTATAGATCATCCATGTGAGCAGGGCCTTATGCATTGCTAAACTTGGAGACAAATTGCAAATCTGCATGATGAACCCCAAGTACTTGCAAAATTTGCACATGGAAATGTAAAAAAAAAAAATGCAGATTGCGTGGATTCCCAATGACTGAATTTTGCCAGGGAAAATTCACTAAACACCAGTAAATAAGCACACACCTTTAGCGACAGAGATAAATACGTTTTATTGTCCCAGAAAGTCATACAGGTTTGGAATGACATAAGGCAATTCTCAGAAAATTACAAAATTTTCATTTTGTAAAAATGAACTATAGTTCATTAGGATGAACTATTCCTAATAATAATGACAACAATAGATATTGATTAGCTAATACATACTGGTAACTGTTCAAAACTCAGTAACATAAATTAGTAACAATGATAAAATGACAAACGCAAAAAAACAAAAAAAATGTTTGAACGTTAAAGGGATAGTTCACTTTAAAATGAATTTTTGATATGCTTTAGCGTACCTCTAGGGCATCCAAGATGTAGGTGTCTTTGTTTACACAGTATTTTCAATTTTGACATTTTTCGGTCAAACCGTTGTTGTCTGTCAGTCATATAATAGAGGTATGAGGGGGCCAACGTCAAAGAGCATGCAGAGAGAAGTCAAAAATAAACATGATTTAATGACTGGTAAATGTAAGTACACATTGATGGCCTAAGACACGAAACGAGCGGTTTGTGTGAGAAAACGAACAGTATTTATACAGTTTTTACCTCTTGTTAACAGCCGTCGAACTGATCTGAATCAGATGTCCAACTGAACCAATGTTCATCTCTCGCGCGTATACGTGGTGCATTGTTTACACGGAGATTTCGGAAGTTTTACCTTTCACTAAACATATTTAGATATACGGAAGACGATTTCGATATATCTAAATATGTTTAGTGAAAGGTAAAACTTCCGAAATCTCCGATTTCAATATATCTAAATATGTTTAGTGAAAGGTAAAACTTCCGAAATCTCCATGTAAACGATGCATGATGTAGACGTGCGAGAGATCACTTCCGGTGTAACGTCTGGAGACGGTTCAGTTCGGTTTAGTTGGACATTTGATTCAGATCATTTCGACGGCTGTTAACAAGAGGTAAAAACGATATAAATACTGTTCGTTTTTTTCACACAAACCGCTCGTTTCGTGTCTTAGGCCATCAATGTGTACTTACATTTACCAGTCATTAAATCATGTTTAATTTGGACTTCTCTGTGCATGCTCTTTGAGGTGGACCCCCTAAAACTGCATTATATGACTGACAGACAAGAACGGTTTGACCAAAAAATGTCAAAATTGAAAATGCTGTGGAAACAAAGACACCTATATCTTGGATGCCCTTGAGGTAAGCTAAAACATATCAAAAATTATTTTCAAAGTGAACTATCCATTTACGGGCCAGATTTACTTAACATGGCAAATTAGCGTGAAAGCGCAAACCCACAAAAGCGGCAATGGGAATGGAAAGTTCTGCGCGTGATCTACTGACGACATGCAAATTAAAGAATACAGACGCAGCCGGATCATTTCCATAATGATGCAAAAATAACTGTCTACTCCTTTTCAGTGTTCATTTTTCACTGCTTGTCTTTAGTAAATCCTGACAAGTAGTTTAGGTAGCTTTTTAACCCCAATAGAGGGTTTGCACTGGCCAAGCTGTTAGTAAATCTGTCCCTAAGGCCATGTGTCAGCTGAAAACGCTAGCCGCTCAGCTTTGGGCGCTTGAGAGTGTTCTGGCAGCGTCAGCGTTTTTTCCATTGAGACGTTACGTTGCTACGATAGAGAATATCCGCAGCACGGTTTACGTGTAACTGATAATTTATTTCATACTAAAACTAAATTTTTCATCCAATTTGTTCGGTTAGCTCTGTCTGCAGGTTGATGTCGTTGTAGAGAAAGAATGTTGTGACACAGTTGGTCGGTCTGGTATTAGCCCCGATGCACTGACTTGAAAACTTTCATAGGAACCATTTAACTTTTTCCAGTTGCTTCATCTGAAACCCCTCGACAGACTTGAGTAGAGAGAGCGCCGGTGAGGTTCTCGATCTGAGAGCGGAGGAACTTGCGATCCTCCTGTAGGTCCTGCACCTGTTTCTCCAAAGATTCAATCCTCTCCTGTTTGCTCTCCAGCAGACACTGGAGTTTGGTGATGGTCAGCATAACACCGCTGGGTAAACCCTCCATGATCGGGGGTATCCCTGCTGAGAAAGATAGAAACAAAACAAACCGTCTATGTATATGAATTTGTTCCTACAAAAGAAAAAAATAATCTCTAACTGATCATTATCTCATTTAATTATACACTTTTGACAAAAAGGAAACAATGCACAGCAGGAAATAAAAAAAATGGTCTAATGGATCTAATAAACTTGGAACAACATGCATGTAAACTGTAGGATGATGACCTACTGAATCATAGGCTACACCACGAGTTAGTATAAGAATAAACCTATACTACATTTTTGGAAATTGTAGTTTTTATGTGCGCTGAAAAAAAGAGGAGAATATGTGAATAATACACATTCGCAGCAAGGGCATCAACAAACCCCTGACATCACTACAGGCAATACTTGAATGCTCTCTCTAACTCTGTCCCATTATTGCATTTTGGAGATTGACAAATTTTGGAGTAAATTAAAAATCACGTACTGTTCGCAGTGTTGTCTTGTTCTGTAGAATTATCAGCTGGAACTGAGTTTATATTTCCCCACTGGATTAGTTCAGTCTCCGGTTCCTGTTTCACCCAGCTGTAGTTGCTCACGGGACTCTCCTGTTTCGCGGAGCTGGAGTCAAGCTCACTGCTGGGGGAGTACGGAGCGAAATCCTCCAGCCACTGAGAGTTCATCTCATCCTGAGAGCTACAGGAGGTGAATATCATTCAACAACCTTTGATCATCTAGCAGTTAAAAAAAAACAAAAAAAAAAAACGCCATGCATTTTGCAGAAGAACATTGTTTTGGTTGGGCTTTGGGTTGATGTGACTGTGAATATGGTTCTCCTACTGCTCATAAAGCATTCATAACTAACATTCATAAGCTGACTACCTAAAGATGTTACTGTAGCTTTACCCATTAATAGACACAGTAGTTCCTTGAAGATAAATTCCACACAGCCATAATGAATTGACCCTTCACAACACAATACTGCTTTACAATTAACTCAATTAAGAGAGCTACATATAGCAATTTATCTGTTCAATAAAATACCTTACTCCCCTGTTAAACTATAAAAAAGCCATCTCGGCATTGCTTTTACAACATTTAAATTCATTTAGTTGATTCTGGTTTTATTTAGGGGTGGTGACGGCACAGTGGATAAGACACATGCCTTTGGTGTGAGAGACCCAGGTTCGAATCCACTGCGAGACACCAATGTGTCCCTGAGCAAGACACTTAAGCCCTAGTTGCTCCAGAGCCGTGCGACCTCTGACATATATAGCAATTGTAAGTGGATTTGGATAAAAGCGCCAGCTAAATGTTAATGTTAAATGTTATTAGAAGCTCTGTTGCGTTCTTTTTGCCAGCAGACTCTCCTCTGTTATGCTTTTTTTTTTTCTAAACGGTTATTCACTTGAGGTTGGAGATTTAGCAGCTCCATGTCAACATCTCTCACTCATTAATACAACTAACCTATGCCACTCCCACAACATACAAGTAGCCAAGGCAAAATCTCTCTACTTTCGGATATAAGACATGCACGAGCGAGTGACGCATGTGCGTAATTTCCCACAAAATAACTTGCATGGTGTACTTTTAAAATATGTACTTTCTCAATAGAGGATGTGCGTGTGATGACGTCACCGTTGGCCAGATTGACTGTGGTTACGCCCACTGGGTGGCAAAAAGACTAAGCGACAGCATTGGTTTTCAGTGTGAATGCCATGAAAAACATACAAAACACGTCTAAAACAGGACAGATCTTTGAGACTGACTGTTTCAAACTAGATTTGACAAGAAATCCGAGGTATATTTTTACAGACTGCCGAAAGATACAGAGCACCAGAGAAGAAAATCAACTGGACTCCAGGCAGCCAACATGACATCATGACTTTTGCGGAAACAAATACGCCACTTTCGAGTCAGGTGGCGTGTTATCTCTACGTATTTTGAGCTATCCGCGTGAATCCGCGTGTATGCGTATATGCGTATATGTCTACGCCGAACGTCCGCGTCATTCCGCGTCAAATCTCCAGTCATAAATGCCATTAACCCCAGTGACAGTTAAGTTTAGGGATGGGGTTGAGGTAAGTCATATCTTTTTTTTACCTAGGATGGTAAGGGAACAGTCATAAATGCCATTAAAGGGTTAGTTCACCCAAAAATGAAAATTAAGTCATTAATTACTCACCCCCATCCTGTACCAACCCCGTAAGACCTTCGTTCATCTTCGGAACACAAATAAAGATATTTTTGATTGAATCTGAGGGCTGGATCACTCTTCCATAGACAGCCTGAGGGACTGCCTCTTGACGGCCCAGAACGGTTTTTGTTACCGGCTGCTCACCGCTTAGGAGTTTTACCGCCCCCTACCGTATAAGATGACGTACTGATATAGCCGGAGGCGCAAAACGTTCTGTTTACAAGCAGTACGTCATCTTATACGGTAGGGGGCGGTAAAACTCCTAAGCGGTGAGCAGCCGGTAACAAAAAGTAGTCGAAGAAGAACGGTCTCGTCTCAGTTCTCGCGCATGCGCCCATAAGGAAGTAATGGAAAGTCGAATAAAGTCGTTATTTACGTTTTTTTTTTCGCACAAAAAGTAGTCTCGTCGCTTGATAAAGTTATAGTTGAGCCACTGTAGGCACATGGAATATTTAAACCTTTTCTTTTAATGACTTTCTGGGCCGTCAAGAGGCAGTCCCTCATGCTGTCTATGGAAGAGTGATCCAGCCCTCAGATTCAATCAAAAATATCTTTATTTGTGTTCCGAAGATGAACGAAGGTCTTACGGGGTTGGTACAGCATGGGGGTGAGTAATTAATGACTTAATTTTCATTTTTGGGTGAACTAACCCTTTAACCCCAGTGACGGTTAAGTTTAGGGACGGGGTTGAGGTAAGTCATATATTTATATAACGTTAAGTCAACGGCGTTCATAAACACGCTGAAAGGCGATTATGCGTCTTGATAGCACGCCAAAAATGGAAATACGAATTGGCGTTTCATACACACGCTACTTCATGAGATCAGTCTGAGGCAGCGAAAGGTGGATTTGCAGTTATCATTTGTGTCAATATGCTGAATTTAGTGATAAAATCACAAAATAAAATCACACCCTTTATATTGTATTGTTATATATTGTAATGACAACTCATCAATAAAATATTTACCACTGTATATACTGAATAATTTGACATTTTTAAATAAACTCTGACAAAAAACTATACAAGTTTTAGGGTTGGACGATATGATGATGTATAACATTGATATAAGTGATCACCTGGATTTAGACCTACCTATATTGTATTTAAAGAAAGTGTTCACAGGCAGATTTGCTCTATGAATTCCCTGGCATTGAAATCAGGAACATATAAATGTCAGGAAACATGATTCCTGGCTGCATTTCAATATCCATGGATCACTGGATCTTTGGTAAGTAGAAAGGAACATTAAATCGAGTCCAACCTTTAGTTTAAACTAATAATCGTTTTACTTGTGTTTTCGCCGTTTCCCCTATTAAATCCAGACACATAGCAGCTCTTCTGCCATTCATTCTGGCTAATGGGACGTGTTCTGGCGGGTAAGTGATGTCAATGCATTCCCTCTATACTAATATTTTTGTGCATGATTCATATTTGCATGTAGTAAAATGAAAAACAGAAAGAGAAAGTACGATGGGTTGTGTATACAGTGTGTTGAATTTCATTATATCCATTTATGTTTACAAATTACAATTCAAGGATTTTCAAGATGATGAACAAATCTTTAAAAACTCATTTTATTTTCTTACATTACTAAAAATAAACATCCATTATTAGTGGATAATGAGAATATTCACAACAACTGTGGTTGTGTCCGTGCAGCTTCTATCCATTTTTTTTTTTTTTTTTGTAATTACAACAGGATTATTATTTTTATAGAATTATTATTGATACTAGAAAGACATGAAAATGATACAAAATAATGGTTAGTGCCATATTCAGTTTTGCAACAATTGAAGGAACATACCCGGATTGCAGAGGTAAACTACGAATCTTGTGTCTGTGGCTTCTCTGGTACTGTCTCCATTTGTTCCTCAATTCTGCCTGTCTTTCATTAGAGAGTTCGGCAACTGCAGGATGTTTTGTCTTTCCCTCTGTCTTTCTTCGTTGATAGCTAAGAATCAAATAAAAAGACATTAAGTATTGCATACTAAAATATATGCAATATACAGTGTATATATATATATATATATAATTATATATATATATATATATATATATATATATATATATATATATATATATATATATATATATATAATAGTACAACTTTGGGTAAGATCAAGGTTATTTGAATAAGTGAATTGTTTGCCATTTATAATTCGCTGTATAATAAAATTCATACACCTCTCTCTTCTTTTTGCAAGGTATCTAGCCCTGGCAACAGGATCAGCATTCACCTTCGCTCTGTGTCGAGCTGATTTCTCATTGTTTGATAGTGGCATCTACAAATAGAAGAAGAAAAAACACTGTGTTACAATACAATAATTATATTCTAATTAGTTTTAATTATATTTTAAGGTAACAATAAATGGGACATGCCTTTAGGCTACATATTCCGCATTAATTAATCACCATAGTTTGTGTGTTAGATATACCCATGAGAGTTAAATAGGGTGACAGGTTACACCATTTGACATTTTAGTTTCCATATTTTTCTGAATAAAAAGGATTTTTAAATTATGACCATCCAAAAGACATTTCCATTTATATGTGAAACTTAACAAACTAGCCATGTCATAGAAATATCAAATGATCTGCTATTTTGAAAGACATACTAACCTTGACACACAGAAATGAGGATTTGCAGTGTTTCTCTCAGTCACACCATTTCCTGTTTCACGCGGTCACATGACAACAGAACGGCTGCCTTTATGTCGTCAGTTACACCAGGGATGGGGGAGGGGCTCTGGTTACACCACACACAGAAGAGCTTCGCTGCACGTTTTCATAGAAATAATACTTTAACACTGCTTCATATGTTGTTTTTCAAGGATCTCAAGCTTGTATTAAGACTTTCTCTTATTCATAATTGAACAACGGTTACACCACCTGGACATGTTTTGTCCACCACCACCAACATATCAAGAGATCCAGAGAATCGTGTCAAATACCTAAAACTATTAAGGGATGGTGACTTATTCGTGAACGATTGTTTTTGCTGGATCCTTTCAAGGAATTAGTTGCACGGGTTCCCCGACTGAACGCTTCTTTCACGAATCGGAGTCTGACTGAAACTGCGGGGATCTCGAGTCGACAGCTAAACTGACTCATTTGAACACGAACCGTGGTGAGCTGACAGCATGAGTGAAACGAACTGTTCATAAGAACCGATTCGCGGAAATGATTCGGACGTCCCTTTTAGCGAGTAAACTGTTCAAGGGCAAAACGTCTCCGGTTCCTATCGTAACCTCGGTTCCCTGAAAGGCAAGCAACGAGACATTACGGATGTCGTATATGGGAATTCCTCTCATCCTTCAACTGATAGGGAACAAGTGGTGCATGATCTTTAAGTATGAACGGGTCGGTAACAGGATATGCCAAATTTCCCTAAATATTTAGTTTCTGATTTTTGCCTTTTTGCAAGCAAGAAAAAAGTTCCTATGTTCGCTTTATTTTGTTTCTCTTCAAGTATGTCCTACAGTACACTAACGGTGGGTAGAAAAAAGGTCAGATATGTAAATACATTAAAATATTTTCAAGATAATATTGTACACATTTCTAACAGTATTTTACTGTATAAATGGTTCTTTAAACATTTAAATATATACACAGTTGTTATTAGTAAGGAAATTGGAACATATTTAAAGGTCAGCAACATCAAATTTGTTCAAACATCCCTGGTTTAAGAGAGCACAATGGCTAAAATCACTTGCAGCACCTTTAATTGTAAAACAACTGCAGACATTTCAAAACCGTAGAATGAAAATAAATCACAAGCAGTGTTCTTCAGCTCTGGCTCTTGAGGGGAGTTTATCTCCAAACCCGATCTATGATCACTCACAGGTCTGCAATGTTCTAGTACTCATGCAGGTACTGATCAGGTGTGTTTGATTCGGGTTGGAGCTAAACTCTGCAGGACAATGGACCACAAGGGCTAATTTAAAATACCCTGACATAAAGGAACATGTGATGGAATTGTTAGAGAATACAAAACTTGGCAGAGTTTATGTGAAGAAAACAAATAACGGACACAATATGCAAGCAATGCTTACATACACACCAAATCTGTGCCAGAGTGGACTGGATAATGATAAAACTAGTGATTATGCATAACACATATTTTAATTCCACCGACTACTTTTATTTCCTGCCGGGCTCCACAGCCTCTCATTTTCACTTTGCAATAGTCTCAGAGCACCCTCTAGTGTCCAAACACGGAGAATGCTTGTTTGTTTAGCAGTCCTAGGTAGAAGCCTTCATCCACTCCATCCTTCTTCTGAGGGCTTCATCATCACAAAACACCAGTTCAGATGTGATATCGTAGGCTGCCCCGGAAGACTAAGGTTATCTTAGGGTTATCCTAATGGTTTTCAGAGTAGCATAAGAAGAATGTGAGTTACTATGTTACCTCAATAGCAACTTGCATTTTTAAAGCAAAAAGAACACTCACATGTACTCATAAATCAAAACCCACTAGATCAAGGCTCAGAAATCTTGAGTCTTTTCCGGGTTGTAGAATTACAAACTGAACAGCTCTGCAGAGACGCTGACCGACCAGAGGCACAGACCTGTTAGAAACCAGCAGCAGTTCTGCCACGAGGGTCGTGTTGGGGACAGCGCTGTCCCAGGCCAGAAGATGGAGGGGCCGAATAAGGTCCTTTTACAGTATAGCCCACTGTAATCCAGGGCACATGGAGGCTCACTCGTAAAAACTGTCCTGGACGGACGGACGGACGGAAAAGCCCAGCTCATACTCTTCTTCTTGATGAAGGCAGATCAAGACCTAGTCACACTGAGAAACATATGGTGTTGAGAAATACAGCTCAAATCAAAGTTGACCTTTTGTTAAAATGTTACTATAGTAATAACTATAAATGATGCATAGTTACATGCAACTAAAACTACTCCTAGCCCTATAGTAAGTACATGTAAGTCCTTGCAAGTATAATGAATTATACACTTTTATGAGTATAATTAATTATTTTTTTAAATCATTATATTTTACTAATCTTTAAAGTATTTTATATGTGTTGATTCACATACTAAATCACATGTATAGTACGTACTTGATTATAATTTATAGTTTGTTATTTGACATTACATTTAAAATGAACATATTTTTAACATGCTACTAAATGTGTAATTACAAATATAAAGCTGCAGTCCGTAATTTTTAACAGTTTATTTTTGTTATGATATGAAATTTTAATATACAGCAATACCGGTGTATAATGCTTTAATAACGATCGGTGCTGTTTGAGAACACTGTTTGAGAGGGTCCATTTTCACACTTGCACTTTGTGGTGTTACTAAGCGTGACTGTGAAGATGGATAGGTTAAACTATAATTCTCAATTATATAAGAGTGTTTCCCATACATTGGTTCACAATATCAACACAGCCTTTTGGAAAATCTGTTTGTGGTTGGCATTGACATCGTTGAATAAACATGAGCACTGCACGTTTCAAAGAAAAAATGCGGCATGGGTGTTTTTATCTGAATGTATCTGAAGTGGACTGACAGGCTTTAGAAAAGTTTCTTTGATATTACGATTGAATCTTTGCTGATAAAGCAGCGTTTATGTGGGTGGCGCTGCTTTGTGTACAGGCGTTACCGGGGAAACTGAAACCGCTGTTTCTGCCGCTCCTTAAAGCACCTCCTGCTGGCACCTAATGTGAACAGCCTTACAAACCTGTATTAGTACTAGTGTGCATTTTTTCCTACAATATTCACTCATCATGACAGTAAAATAGGGCATTCGAAGTCAATATACTGTAGTATTTTCTCTCTCACTCAGTAGAAAATGTGGTTAACCCAGTCATGCTCAGGGAAAAAAAAAATACCGTCATATCATAAAAAACCGGTATAGTTATGAAAAATACTGTGATATGGATTTTTGGTCATACCGCCCAGTACTACTCTAACGGTTAATAAACAGAACTGCATGCGTCTTGCGGAAGAACATTGTAGCCAGACCTTCTTTTCTCTGTTTGTCTAACGCTGCCTTCACACTGGCAGTTTAAATCAGCTCCGTAATACGCAATAGACGAATCCGGCGAAACTACCGGAAGTAAGCGGGGCGCCATTACTGAGCTGTTGCTGGGTAGCGTTGCGCCATTGCCTCCTATTGTTTTAGTTGCAACTTACGTCCACTGGAATAAACAGCCCGCAAAAGGGCTGCCATTTACTGTAAAACTTGTTGGAAACACCTCTCAGAGAATATTTAATCAAGGTTTTATAACTTTAGAAAAAAACAGACTAATGAGAAAACAATAACACGGACCAATCATATTTTTTCTTTCTTTATTTTTACCATGCATTGATGAAGGACATGTCATGATGCTCTTTTCCTGTGTGGGTTAAAGTTGAACCCTGATCTTTGAGATGTGAAACTGTATCAATGATATCTGGGCTGTCAAGGGCTTACGCTGCCTTCACACTGGCAGTTTAAATCAGCTCCGTAATACGCAATACGTTCCCAACGGACGTCGTACTACACAGTGAAAAGCGTCAGACGCGGGTAGAACAAAAATTGCGGAGAGATTAAAGTTTGATTGTGTCAGTTATGATCTCTCTGATGAGGGTTATGCTGCGTGAGGAAAGTTGCTCAGGACGTTGACATGCCAGGTCGAATAAAAATGTGATATATAGTGGTCAATAGTTCAATGTCTACCTTCAATTTAATTGTATTAACTGCCCTTATAAACGTTAGAAAGTCATGAAATTATAAAATGACATGACAACTTACCGTTATAAAATCATTATTTATTTTATTAAAAGTTAATCATTCAGGTTTGTGTATTAGTACCATAGCAACGCTCAACTTCCGTCCGTAGCTTTTCGCACGAGTTCAAATTTTTGAACGCATCCGGATGACCAACGGACGAGTCAAGCCGCCTTTCCACTGCACACGACATTCGCATACGATTGTCGCATTTCGCCCCCTAGTGTCAGTCGCACAGAACTTTGAAATTGGTCGTGAAGCAACCGTTACCCTAGGATATTCACAATGGTAAAATTATTTTTTTTAATAAATGTAATGCATGCATGAATATATCTACACAAAACAAATGACCCTCAATTCATCTAAAAAAAATATAGTAGTATAAATATTGGTTTAATAATTATAAAATATATTTTCTGCTATAGTTAATTATAACCAACATTTTACACAGCGAGCGTTTACAGAAAAACATTAAAGAGTTAAAATATTGGTAATTCTAGCCTCGCGCTCATAGTTTTTATAAGAATACATCACTTCCGGTTGGCCGGTCGCATACAGTCTAGCCGCAGACGTTCAGATATTTCAACGGATCCAAAGCTCAAAACGGATCCGAATTTTCCGCATACGCATATGATCGGAACTCCCCGCAGCTCCCGTACGACTCTCCATTGGAAATGAATGACTTCCGGTCCGACGGCGGTCGTTTGTCGTGTGCAGTGGAAAGGCGGCTTGAAGGCGGCGTAAGACGAGTCATGCCGGTACGCTGTGGTACGACTCAAACCAGTCTAAAATGGTCCCAATATAAACACTTACTCTAGGTGTACCGTAGTGATTAAGATAAGACAATAACACAGTTTTAAAAATGGATTCATGATATAATACTTGCACTGCTCAACAAACGTTCCCGATAAATTATTTGTTATTAAAACATCACAAACTTAATTTTAACAGAAAAGCAAGCATAGGCTACTGCATGCGTGATTTATAAAATCACAAAAAAAGCTGTCACTAATTTTAAATCACAATCTCGATTTCGCTATAATCAATAAAGCTGTCAACACTGCACAACGAGTCATTTATTTACATCGCCTCTATACTTCATTAGTAATAGTGAGAGGAATCGTGAGGGTGCAGAACTCAGCCCAGAACAAAAACTCTGGTGTTTTGACTGGTGAGTGGATTCTGACTTAATCACTTCTGATTGGCCATTGCGTTCACAAAAATCAACATATATGTTTGGGATTGGCTACATTGCTTGAAAAAAAAAAATGCTGCAAAAACAGAAAAATGTATGCTCTCCATAGCGCAAACATAATGGACCTTAACAGTTAAAGGAGTAGTTCACTTTTGAAAAAACTTTTGCTGATAATTTACTCACCCCCATGTCATCCAAGATGTCCATGTCATTCTTTCTTCAGTCGAAAAGAAATTAAATTTTTAGATTTATAAGCTCTAATGCTCACCTTGCTCTGTTCTGTGATGCGCATTCGTGACTCTCCTGTTCAAACTCGTTCATCAAAATGAACAAATCTTTTTCCGAGTCAATTCATTCGTTTCGTTTGTTGAATGAACCAAATGACTCGGAAAAAGATTTGCTCCAACAGGAGAGTCACAAACATGCGTCACAGAACAGAGCAAGGCGAGCTTATAAAACTTAAACTTTGTTATTTATTTATTAAATGAGCGATCGTTTCGCTTGATAAGACCCTTATTCATCGTCTGGAATCGTTTAAAGCAAGTTAAGAAAGACATGGACATCTTGGATGACATGGGGGTGAGTAAATTATCAGCAAAAGTTTTTTGAAAAGGTGAATTTATGAGCAATCCAGTGGAAAATTTCACTGGAAGAACATTTGCCAAGTTACTGTAAAAGTGCAACTTGTCATGTACCTCTCTTCCCTTTCTTCTTGTGGCGTCTCTTTTTCCTGACGCTGCTGGACTCTTCAGATGAAGAGGAGCTGCTAGATTCATCAGTGGCATACGAGCTGGATGAGCTCTTACGCCGCCTTTTACGTGACCTGGGCCCTGAGAACACTGATGTGCTCGCTGTAGGAACCCAGAATGGTAGTAAACAAGAGAACATGAGCCAGTGCAAGTGTAACAGCAAATAGAACATCAACTGCAAAATTCATTCATCATTTGAGCTAAAAATACATTTACATGAAATGACTGTGACACCTTGGATTTTAAAAAGTGAAGTCTGGAATATTAATGTGAACAGAGACAGTCAAAAAGACACTACAGTTATTTGTTGTCTTGCTATATTCAGCAAGAACATAATTTTAATGTTTTGTAGATCATTCAAGAAAACTGCATGTCATGTTGGTTATACTTTGTTTGTAATTTTGCATGTGGTAAAATGCTATATTGTGACAATTTGACAAAATAATCGTAACCAAATGCAATGTCATGAAATTTTAAAATAATTTTGTGCTGACACACAAAATATTAAATATATACACTACCGGTCAAAAGTTTTAGATCGGTAAGATTTTTTATGTTTTTAAAAGAAGTCTCTTCTGCTCACCAAGGCTGCAATTATTTGATAAAAAAATACAACAACAAAAAAAACTGTAATATTGTGAAATATTATTACAATTTAAAACAGCAGTTTTCTATGTGAATATATAGTGAAGTGTAATTTATTCATGTGATCAAAGCTGAATTTACAGCATCATTACTTCAGTCTTCAGTGTCACATGATCCTACAGAAATTATTATAATATGATGCTCAAGAAACATTTATGATTATAATCCATGTTGAAAACAGTTTTTTACATTTTTATTTCAGGATTCTTTGATGAATATAAAGTTCAAAAGAACAGAATTGATATGAAATTGAAAGCTTTTGTAACATTAATCAATACCATTCAAAAGTTTGGGGTCATTAAGAATTTATTTTTTATTTTTAGAGGAAAGAAATTAGAAAAAACTTTTATTCAACAAGGATAAGTTAAATTGATCAAAAGTTACAGTAAAGACATTTATAATGGTAGAAAAGATTATCTTTTAAATAAATGCTGTACTTTTTTCATCATAGAATTTTTTGGGAAAAAAATGGTACACGACTGTTTTCAACATTGGAAATAATAATTTATGTTTTTTGAGCATAAAATCAGCATATTAGAATGATTTCTGAAGGATCACGTGACACTGAAACTGATGTGTAATCAGCAACAGTAATGATGTTGAAAATTCAGCTTTCAAATTACATTTTAAAATATATTAAAATAGAAAACACTCATTTTAAATTGTCATAATATTTCACAATATTACTGTTTGTCATTTTTTTTTCATCAAATAAAGCAGCCTTGGTGAGCAGAAGAGACTTTTTAAAAAACATTTAAAAAACATAAAAAATCTTACTGATCTAAAACTTTTGACCGGTAGTGTATATATATATATGTCATGTCTATTCAAGATAATATATCTATTATAACGTAGTTCTGTTGAGCAAAGTGTTTTGAACAAGGCCAAACATTTTTTTTTTTACTCATCTTTCCACCACACCTTCAGGCACCGGAACCAAGCGAGCGCCGGTGAGGTTCTCGATCTGAGAGCGGAGGAACCTGCGATCCTCCTGTAGGTCCTGCACCTGTCTCTCCAGAGCTTCAATCCTCTCCTGTTTGCTCTCCAGCAGACACTGGAGCTTAGTAATGGTCAGCATAACACCGCTGGGTAAACCATCCATCGGGTTCGGGTCCGCTGCTGAGAAAGAGTTGTATTTTCACTCAATCTACATCCCATAATTGAAATGTGGAGATGCTAAAGAGCTCAATGATATGGATTCTCAAAAAAATGAATAAATATCACACCAGCAACAGCACTGCTCAGAGATTTGTCCTGCTCCGCATCAGTGGCGGCCTCAGAGTTCATATTTTCCAATTGGATTACTTCAGGCTCTGGTTCCTGTTTCACCCAGCTGTGGCTGCTCACGGGACTCTCCTGTTTGGCTGAGCTGGAGTCAAGCTCACTGCTGGGGGAAAACGGAGCAGATTCCTGCTGCCACTGAGTGTTAATCTCAACCGGAACGCTGCAAGAAAACAAAATCAAACAACAGTCTCATAATTACACTTTTCAAATTATTTGAAAGCTATTCTACTTAAAACACTATTTGTTCATTTATATTGCTGATATGTCATACCATATTACAAAACAGTATTTGAGTCAATGAAGACTAATAAGGACTTTCAAGATGACAAAGTGCTTCAAACATTCGTGTGGCAGTTTCTAAAGGTAAAGAAATGTAACCTTTGAATATATGTCGGTCTTACAAAAAAAAGTTATACAAAACTTTGAATAACTCATAAACGTTATATGGTGTAATAAAACAACAATAATAAATGTTCCTTACACTTTTAGAGTGTACACATCTTAAAGTGATGATACACAGGACAACTTTTTGAGCAATGTTGCTGGGAAATCTTGCTGAGCAATTGTTGCTTGGGCCCTTTTCCATTGAAAATGGGCAATAAATTTCTATCTGGATAATTTAGATTGGGCGTGGGCCCTGTTATAATTAAAATTATGATTAATTTATAATAATTCACCTTTAGGGTATGTTTACACGACAACGATACAGACGACAACCTTGTCAAAACAATCCCCTGATCTACGAAAATGACTAAAAACGATGTATTCTGCTGCCAGGCCAGTAGTTGGCGATGTCACTTTGTGAAAAAACACTATGCGCCTATAGACGAATCCGGCGAAACTACCGGAAGTAAGCGGGGCGCCATTACTGAGCTGTTGCTGGGTAGCGTTGCGCCATTGCCTCCTATTGTTTTAGTTGCAACTTGCGTCCACTGGAATAAACAGCCCGCGATTTACGACTGTCACTAACGTTACAACGTTATCCCTTGTATAATGTCGAGTGGGTAAACAGTTTCCGTTATAAATTGTTTCAATGGTGGCAGTAAAATTTCAATTTTGAAGAGAAAACACTGTGAATACCCCGGGTGGACTGCCCCTGTCTGGAGCCGTACGGTTTACAGATTTCCTGGGCGAGTACAAGACGCGGACATTCGCGTATAATAACAATTATTTAATGACATAAGTAAAAAAAATATAATAAATATGTGATATAGTGATCAGCAAAATCTCCTCTCTTGCTATTTTTTCTATTAAATTAACATGCTATGGTCCTTAAATGGCTTTCCTGAGCTAAATGTAACATTATGTGACATAATTGTTCTCCCGCTGTTATATTTGACCTCTTTCCATGGTTTAAAAACACTAATTGGTCGATATTATGTATACTTTCTAGCTGTAACGTTACCTTACCCTTCAATGCCGGTTGCAATGTGAAAATGAGATAAATAATGGACACAAATGAAAAACATGAATTTGTTTATTTGATTTCATTCATTTATTTATTTATTGTTGCCAAATGGACAGATCTTTTTATAGTTTCCTCGTTAGCAAACGTTAGCCTAGCTAGCTTGCCAAGCTATTTTCATAAATAACGTTAATCGGTAAGATCGTTTGTACCTTCATCTGTGACTGGAGGCCACTGCAGTCACAGATCAAACCAACAAGTCATTCTGCCTGGCTGTAGCTGTCATCGAGGGTGAGTTCGCGTTATCACCGAGGTTTGTTTACATACCGGTGCATATGTCTATGCCTGTGTAACAGCTCAGTAATGGCGTCGCCACAAGATGGCAGCCTACACAGAACGCTCGTCGGATTCGTCTATAGACTGCAGAATACACATGCAGAATACACATGTACACACTATAGAATACACATGCAGATGACCACAGAGATGGCTGTAATCTTTCTGATGGCTACTTCCAGCAGGATAAAAAAACACCATGTCACAAAGCTCAAATCTTCTCAAACTGATTTCTTGAACATGACAATGTTTCTCGACCTGGTACTACGAGGTGATTGATGAGAGGCTGGGCAAAAAAATCAATTTTTCGATTAATCGTTTTTTAAAATGTGTTCGATTCAAAATCGATTCTCAACGGCCGGAATCGATTTTTTTCCATAAAAATAGGGGCTCGCGAACGCGGTGCTGCATCTTCTCGTCTCTCTGCACTAGGCAAGCGCTGCAGCTGTAACCTATGATCGTAACTAACGTTTATCATTTTCACGTCTTTTTGAGTTTTACGAGCAATGTTAAACCATCCCGTGCTCGCGCACTCTCAGAGATGTCTTTCACTGCGTGTCTTTCACAGTAACGTTACAGCCTAAATCTGCCTCACAAACAGCTCGCCAGAAACAAACGTTTTATCCCTGGATTATATCACTTTAACAGTTAAAACACGCGACATTATGTCAAAACTCTGGTCTTGGTGAGTAACCTCCTAAAGACAGTCGGTAATGTCTTAAATTAGCATTAAACGTGTGTGACAGAAAGTTAATGAAACAGAAATGGATTCCCGCACTAGTTCTTAAAGTGAACGCAGCCCTTTGTGTCAGTCATTAATTCTCAGACATGGGGACTTGTGACTTGGTGACTTGGACTCGAGTCGACTCGAGTCGCTATTTTTATGACTTGTGACTTGACTTGACAAAAAATAAAATACTTGAGACTTGACTCGGACTTGGGAGTTAAAGACTCGGGACTTGACTTGACTTGAGACACGATGACTTGAATGACTTGAGTGTTAATCACATCATGTTTTCAGTTTGAATATAAAATCTATAAATTATGTGAAAAATAAATAAAGTTGATCCAGCTGGAGCGCAGGCTGAGAATAGCGCTGTCATGACTGGATCACGAGATCATCAGTCATGCCCTCTCATACCTTACGCACACCACGCCCACTTACATCAGATCACATCAACATGTCAGCCGGAGGGATACCGAGGGTCGTTGCTTTCGGCTTCAAGAATTTCTCAAAACAAGATGGCAAAAGAATAGCGCTTTGCAAGACATGCAACGTTAAGATCGCGGACAGCCAGACGACAACCTCCAATTTCGTCCGTCATTTGAAGAGCCATTCTGCCCAGTAAGTGCTTGTCAATTTGTTAATGTCATCTGGTTAGCTCGTTCGTAGTTAGCTAGCTAATGTAAGTTAAAGGAGAACTCCGGCGCAAAATTACACATTTCCTAGTCAACCATTATCTGAGATTTGTTTTCATGATTGCCGAATGTAAATAGTTTTATCTATAAAAACAGTTTAGCCTATAACGCTAGTATATAGGGCATAGAGTAATGACAAATAAAAATCGCTTGTTATTACCACAAGGCTCAAAATAGCCCCACACTAACATAATAAGTGTCCCTACATTCAAAACGAAGCATTGAGAACTTTGTCAGTGTCCATAGAGTTTAATAAGAAGATATTTTATACACACAGTCAACTTCGCGAATACAGGAAGAAGCTCAGGGAGTTCAGTTTTCCTGTAGGAACCCCTAGCAATACTGCCCTACAAAGGCAAAGCGCAGTAACTACACATTTGGTCAAAAATGAGTTAAGACTTGTAATGGGCTTTATGACATGTGTTCTGTCTTGTGAAAAAATATCTGGGTTAAATTATGTCCCATTTCGGAGATGCATTACCACATAATCTACCCATAACATGTTTTACTGGCTGGTATAAAAACTTTAAAGACCTTTTTCTCTCTGTTTCTTTGTTTGTGTAGTTACTGCACTTTGCCTTTGTAGCAACCAATAACGTTCCGGAGGGAGGATTTCTACAACTTGCTTGAACAGTTCCATTTTATTCTGAACACAAATTTTAAACACACACCAGTCAACAATAAATCAGGTTTATATTAATATATTTTATTAAATGCATTTTAAATAATAAAAATAAACTAAAAATTTATTTTTATCAAACTTGACTGGGTGTAATTACTGGGAGTAAGTGAGTAATGTCTAATGCTTTTTGAAAACTTAAGGCTTTTTTCATAAAACAAGTCAGGACATCATCTCATTTTTGTATACATTTTTATTTCTTTAAATCAGTAAGCTAGTAAATTAATGCGTCATTGTACCCAAATGCACTTCCGAATGCGCCTCTGTCCATTTCAAACCAAACTGATGCCCATAGATGCACGTTTAGAAGAGTTTCAATTGCATGGGAGGGAGTAGCCAGCTAGCTCTCTGTTTTGTTTGAACATCAACATAAGTGATGTTACCCCGCCATTGCTGATACATTTAAAACATTTAAAACACTTCAAATTACTGAAAATTTAAAACATTTCAAACACACTATTGGCAGAAGTGAAAAATAAATATTTTTATTAAGTTACAATTTTGTTTGATTCCATGATGTATTTTACTGAACATGAGTATTTACAATGCAAATCCAAATTATTGTAATTTACTGGCAAATACTTATCTTGTCTTTTCACTTTATTAAGATCAGATTCTGCATGTAAAATTACAATAATAAGGTGACTTGACTTGCACTTGACTTGACCTACTACAAGACTTGACTTGACTTGACTTGACATAGCCTGTGACTTGACTTGACTTGACCCCCCAAAAAATACTTGGGACTTACTTGAGACTTGACGGTTAAGACTTGAGACTTACTTGAGACTTGCACATGTGTGACTTGGTCCCATCTATTCTGTTGTCATAACAACAGAATATAGTATTAATTGTAAGCAATCAGAATTAATAGCCTTTGTATTTAATTCAGTCTGGACTAAAAAGACTATCCAGTGTTATTTTACATTGGATTTATTCAGTTTCTGTAGTATTTCTGACATACCCAAAAAACTACCCCAAAATGTCTCTTAATTTGTGTCTTTATTCTATTGAATTTATTTGTGCTACTTTTTTCAATTTAATTCAAAGATTGAAATCAAGCTTCCATACATAAATTCTTAAAACAAAAATAAACAAAAAATTACATTACCATTTAGGTAAGATCAATGTAAAAAAACAAAAGTCTAAATATTTATATATTTATTTATCTATATCTATCTTAAACATAAAATAACATGATACTGTTTGATCAAGCTGTGCGACTGTTCTGACTTTTTTTGCATATTGCATCAAAATCCTGTTTATTCTCTGTATGCATTTAGTGTACCTAAAATAAAAAGAGTTTTATATACAGGTTTAT